AAAATTACGTCAAAATGAGAGGAGAGTTAGGAAATGAGGAGAAAATGTTAATTCTGGACATTCAACTCATCATACACAGGGCATTTCTGATCAGCAGGTCAAGTTTGGTTGATGCCGCCGTCATTAAAGCATGCTGATCTACCGTTGCTTTATCTCTGGATCTGCTGTGCTGCTGTGTACATCAGTGCTTACCTCTAAAATTTGTGACATCCCCATAGTGAATTTGAAGCACAAAGTAGTTAATTCTGGTGTCTCCTCCAACTTTAAAGCCAACATCTGGAAAAAAAAAAGAAGTGCAAAATAAGACAACACTTCAGTCTTTTGTTTTTCAGAGAAAAGTCATTTACTCATGATCACTTATGAGTTACACTGTAACAGCACTGGCTAAACTCAGAGTAAAATGATCAGGCTGCTCTGAGACAGAGACGAGGAGGAGAAATGACGAGCACCTTTGGGGAGTTTGGTTGGAGGAGCATTCCTGGCCCAGGCATACATGATCTTGGCCTGATCCCGACACGTCCCCAGCTCTTTCCCACAATCCCTAAACAATCCAACAAACGAAAATATGTCAGAAATTATCCTCCAGTTAAGAATCATTATTACTCATCACAATCACACAGACATTTGCAGTAAGGTCATTCTGTGCCAACTCAACCAGAGGTCCTCGGCTAAAAATGTTGATTTAGATTTTTTTTTTTCTGGTAAAAGAAATACATAAATGAAGAAAAAAAGCCAAAATATGAAATGTCTTTCAATGTATATTTACTGAGCAATCCACTATTTTGTCGACAGAGGTCAAAATGACAATTTTCAGCCAAAATACAGGTGGGAGTAATGACTTCAGAAAGATGGCAGCATCATTGTGTCATTTTTACACTACTATTTAACTACTGGTAAAATCTGTAGACTTTAGCAATCTTTGTTGCTTTACATACCAATAGTGACAGTTCAAAAATGGGAAAAAGCACCTTTTTATTTTTCAGTTTGCATGCCTATAAGTCATGAAACATTACAGTTATATTTTATTTTGGTATCTTCATTTTAAGGGCCATATGTGACCCTAGACCACAAAACCAGTCATAAGGGTCAATT